TCTCTCTCTCTCTCTCTCTCTCTCTCTCTCTCTCTCTGTCTAACACACACACACACTGTTCACCAGGTTTTTCGATCCACAACCTCATCTTATTCTTAATATTAAATATCAGTAGCTCCTTTAATCCGCGTTAATTTTCATGATTACAAGTGCTAGAAAACAGAACTAAAATACAACGAAATGATTCAGAAATAATTCAACAACCATCTACGTGTGAGGAATAAAACAAACACCACAGCGTTTATAAAGGAACAGCGATGATGATTTTCTAAAGAAGTTTGACATTCCAATTTTAATTCCAGTGCTAGGTGAGAAACACTGGACTACAGCCCTCCTCGAGCTGTCTCGGTGTTTTCTGCCTCCTAACGTACAACAATCCCACACTGAGTTCGTGACGCCGAGATCCGTGGGGCCCCACCATCTGTTGCCGCGTGTTGTTGTAGGTTGCTCTGGAGGAGAGGGAGGCAATCAATAGCCTCCTGACTGGAACTGTTCGATGAATGACAGAACATGAAATGATTTCTAAATTATGTTTATTTATTGTTTTGTTACCGGACAGAGTCAACTGTATGTTCTAAATTATTAGATAGCTGTTAAAACCGAAGCCAGTGTGATCTGTTGGCTGACTAAAAGAATTAGACGCTTCTTTAAAAACCTTATTGCGCCATCTTGTGGACATCGACTGGAACTGCATTCGACTTCCGGAATCTCCTCCTTCATACGTCACTGCTAAACAAAAGCCAAACTTTGAAACATGGCGTGAACTGGCATTTTACGTATGATTGTCCATCCATCCATCCATCCATCCATCCATTCGCTTCCGCTTATCCTTTTCAGGGTCGCGGGGGGCGCTGGAGCCTATCCCAGCTGTCATAGGGCGAATGTATGATTGTCCAATCTCTCAAAATAACACGGAGAAATACGAGCTTACTGTGCACCAGCGTGTCACGAGAACCCCTTTCATTAGCACAAGTCACGAGATGGGTGGAAACAACTCCCGCAGAATCACTGAGATGGCGTAAAAGTGGAGAAAGCCAAGTTTGTAAAAAAATAAAATATTAAAATAGTGGGGGGAAAAAAACCTAAACGAAAATAACATACATAGAAAAATAGATCTAGTAAAAAGCATTTACAACCCCCTCGAACTAAACTACTTTTAATTACATATATATTTTGTAATATAAATCTAATATTATATATAAAATAACACGTGCATTTTAAGATATACTTATTTTTTTCTCTATTTTCTCTAATGCTCTTTAGTACGGGGTGGCGTCGATGGCGGTGTAGTGTGGCGTAGAGGACGTCCTGATATTGAAACTGCAGACCTCTGAGTGAACCTCACCAGCAGGAAATACACCGGGTAGGCGGCGGGGAGCGCTTACGTCGTAAAATTATCGCCGTTGTTTAGTCGCTAGTTGAAGCCAGCCGATTGGAAAGCCAGAAAACCCCAAGGTGGTGTAAACTTTCAATATCGTAGCTGAAAAACCTAAATATCCACGCCGGCAAATGATACATAAGGTAAGTACATGTTTAATTAAATGAGAAAACCGGCAGGCAGGTCAAACTAGTTATTTTTTTCTCTCCTACTGTTAGCTCGTAGCTGGCCGCATTAGCTTGTTGCAGAGATGTCGAAATTAGGCGTTTTTGTTGTGTTTAGTGACGCCTAGCTTCGTCGTGACCTTCGTGTTGGTGTTATTGTACCGATACAGACGGCTGGAGTCATTGTTCTAGCAACATAACTAGCATGGTTCACATTATGATACCCGGGGCATTTTTGACTGGGGGTGGGTGGGTTATTTTCCGACGATATTGCTTTGATTTTTCTAGGCGAAAGCTAGCTGCTGTGCTGAGCAGGTGTTGTTGTCTTAGCAGTTCAACTATCAGCTGCCTTTTATGGACTTACATTCGGCGTAGCTCGGGCACGTCTACATGTGAAAAAGCAACGCTGGAGGGGATTAGGGATGTACTGGAAGAACTGGGTCATAGTTGACGAGTAACGTGACTTTAATTTGCCAGTAAATTAGCAGGAGTTGAACCGGCGGAGGATAGAGGGGTTCTGTTGGAGGGTTTAAGCAGCTCAGCGGGACTGCAGAGCCAGCTTTATAGGTATCCATTGACGTTGTCCACTATTTAATTTTTTTTTTGTTAAGACAGTGTTTAAAATGGAAAATGACAAATCTGTATGCAAGCGAAAATTCTAAAACTGTCCCCGTTAAACAGCTGTCCGATAAATTTAGTTTCTTTTACTGAGTGGAGTGAAAACATTTGCTAATGTTCTGCTTAGCAGGAGCAAACGCTGGCATTATGACGGCTTCCTCTCAGCTGACTAAAACCATAGTTTGTTTTTTTTCCCACGATGTCATTGCATTAATAAAGTACTTAATATAAACAAACATCATGATACTTTGCAGATGCCTGGTGAAGTTGATCATTTGAAGCCAAGAAAGAGGAAGAGCAGCTCTGAGACCAGAAACTCCAGAAAGGTTTGTTTTGTCTGTGTACATAATGCTGCAGATGTGTGATGAGTCAAAAAGAAAGGCAGGAGTTATAGTTATCTACACCCCTACAGCTGTAACCCCTACACCGGACAGCTGTGAGTTGCTCCAAATTAACTGGATCTGATTACTGCAGTGGAGTCCCGCTGTGGTTACCCCAACATCATCCTAACTTTGTTCCTTAACTTTTGTATCATAGACATCTGCTGCAAGGAGATGCGTGAAAAGTCCAATGGCGAACTCGTCATCTGAGAGCAGCTCAGCAGTTGGGAACACTAAAGCAGCTGGTCCTCTGGAGAGAGACTCCTGCATCAGCTGTGAATGCCACCAGTCTTCTGGCAGGAGGAGGTGCTCAGCATCACCAGAGCATGAAGGACAGGAAGGTAAAGAGAACACGCTGATGGTGGGACAGGATTCAGACAGCTGCGTAATGAATAGCATCTGGGACAAATATGAGCCTGAGCATATGGATTATGAAGAAACGAGCAGAATTATGTTCCCAGATGATGACAGTAATCAGATCCTTCCTGTGGAGCAGTTCTTTGGAAACTTGGATGCTGTACAGGTGAGGCACGTTTGTTTTAATTCCTGGGGGAAACAGGGTTGTTTGTTTTTTTTTTTGTTTGGTAAAGAAAACGTCTGCTTACTGATGATCAGTTCAGAAGAATCATCATCCATATCTATTCATTTAAAGCTGCACTTCTAGGGTGTTTTGCAATAGACATGGGAGTTGAAAGATATGTTAGACTTGTTATACATTTGGACCTTGAAATTGGTGCATTATTGGATGTACCAAAAGGTTCTTCCTGCTAATAAAACACAAAAGATGGGCAATAATGTGCAGAGTAGAAGACCACGAGTTGTTACATAAAAGCCTCACTGTGCCAGGAGTCCCTAACGTATACATTATAAGTTCGCCTTGAGGTTTGGATTCTTTCTCAAATAAATGTGATTGCTGATTTTTTTTTTTTTCCTTCTCTTTTTCTGGTCTCACTCACAGTTAACATTAAATAAACTGACATTTCACCCTCTTATAAGCAGGGCTGGAGTAATATGAGAGCAGTAACAACCCCTAGTTAGATTTGTTACTCACTGATAACTTTAATTTTATCCATACACATAGATTTTATCCCCCCCACTCCCACCACATCTCTAGGCCCATCATTCCTGCAGTTATATCTTCAGCACAATTGGTGAAAATAATGTTGCATTAAATGAATTCTAAATACGGATTCATCCCACAGGATTTTCCTGAAAGATCATCCTCGTCTTCTAGCCGCACCCAAAGGAAGAACAGGAGGCGACATTACTACGCTAGAGAGGACAGCGATGAAGACGAGGTGGATTTCAGCGGTGTGCAGCGAGACAACGGGGTGGGCACTTAGTGAAGCGTTGCCGCTCTTATAACTGAGAAAGTTCTGCTCGTGAAAAGACATTAAACCTCTCAGCACTTAGAAAACTACCTGCTCAAACATTGCATTCAATCAATAATTAGATTTTTAAAAAGTCATAACTGCAATAGTAAAATGAAAATGGCCAATGTGAGTAAATGCAGTAATGTTTGTGAAATTATTGCTGAATGTATGCTCACATAACACCTGGTGTAGCTATATCTGGTGTAACCATCACCAGTGTTTATAGCACTTTGTGTAGAAAATTGAAATCCTGAGTGCAGCTTCAGATTAGCCTCTGAGATACTAAAGAAAATGCTGGATTTAAGTTTTTGTTTTCCCATACAAATGAAAACTGATTAATTGCCAATGTTACATCCTGACAAGAGCAACAGAGTGACAATTTCAGTCTAAGTTTAGATTACACGTCTGTAATGAGGAGGGATGGAGCATGAACATCTGTACTGAGAGCTTTAATAGCACAAATTCATTGCTTAAGCTGAACATCTTCAACAGTTTTCTGCATAAAAGTCATTCACCAAGTGTCTCTTCATCCTCAACTCGTGTGTGTGTGTGCTCACGTTTCTGGCAGCTTTGAAATATATAACATCTGTATCAATACATAATCAATGTAATGAATTAATTTTCCCTGAGAGGGTTCTTCTAAAATTTGTAAGAGTGTTGTTTAAAAAAACAAAAACAAAGGTTCCTCATACAAGACTGCAGTCTGAAAGACTGGATAATTTAAACCTGAGTGAAAATGTAATCTAACCAAGAGGTTAACAGTAATTGCACTAGATGTTGTCGCCTGTATTTTTTACATGACTGTTCTAAACCGTCCAAATATTTTATATATTTACTGCCTTATTTATGTCAATTTGCTTTTCACATTCTATGCAGCATTCTCAGTAAATGCATGATTCGTTATCATCTTTGTACTTAATTTGTGTACTTTACATCACAGTGCCAATACAGTGAACAAATAAATGAATTTCATGGTTTCTTAAGTGTGGTCGATCATTTCCAATATGAAATTAAAGCTCAGCATGGTGGGTTTGGAGCTCAGAAGCTGATGTCACGACTACGTAGAGGAGATTGCAAAGGCAAATTTACCTTTCCAGTTGATGTGATGGGTTCTTTTCAGAGTTAATTATTTGCCAAGTTCATCAAACAAATCACAGTCCACTCATTTGTCACAGCACTTCAAGTCATGCGCCGTTTCTTTACTTTGGGCTTCTGTTTTGCTTTTAGATCCTTGGTGGCATTATTATAGATCTTCTTGGTGTCACACTGCAGGTTGTGAGCTCCTTTTTTGTGGCAGACGATGTGGACCAGCTTCAGGTTTTCCCTCGTGAACAGGAGTTGGTAGAAGTAGTTCAGGTTGATGTCAGTGCTCCTGTGATTCTGCAGAGCTTCCAGCAGAGCGGGAATAACTGTCCTCTTCTTTTCAATCCTGGAAACAAATTGAAGAATTGCATGAAAGGATGTAAAGCAAAAAAAACAAACTCAAAAGTCTTGTAAATAAACTAAAGGTGGCGTGAACCTGTGGTCCAAATTCCAAGTGCTGAAGACAATCCTGCCCTCGCGGCTTCCATAGGGGTTGATAGAGTGAAGAGATTTGCACACTTTCTCATCAAATGATCCCTGAGGACGCAATTTAGAGGAAGAGGAACTTAGTCTGAAGCACATCTGGACTTAATATTTTTGAGACATTTTAAATGTAATGACTGTTAAGCCGAGTTAAACACTACTTTTTATCTTTGCTCTGATTCTCACACCACAGTGCACTTTTGTCTCCGACTCTTCTGTTCGCATACAACTAACCTCGGACAAGTCATTTGGAGCAGATCCCAGCTACTCTGTACAGATTCAAGAGTCTTTCCCTCAGAGCTCAAAAGCCTGTCTGTGACAGTGTAAAACTCATGTTGCCTGCATTTGTTTCTCATGCCCATTCAACTCTGTTAGACCTCTTAATACCTCACAGCTTGTATTCTTGTAGTACCTGGCAGGTGAACCATCCCTCCTGAGTACAAAGGCGATCTGGTTGCTTTTCAGTCCTGTCAAAGTAGCAGCCATTATACTTGGCTGTTTTCAGCATTTCTGCGAGGCTCTGGGAGGTTTTCAAAAACTCTGCCCTCACTTTTGCTTTCTGTATGGATTTGGTGGCATCATCCAGCTGACAAAAACAACAAAAAACACAAACTGTTAGAACAGCTGACTGTGGAGCAATCCTGTAGAGACCTCAGGTACAGAGTGTTCCCTGGCTCCCAAGTTTACCTCTTTCAAGTAGCCGCGTATCCTGCTTTCACAGTTGTACTTCATGTAGGCAGACTTTGTTTTAAATCGAGAATCAACACCTGAAGAGAAACACAAATAACAAGATGCTCAACAGATTCATTTAGACTCACATCAAGAGAAACATCTGTGAAAAAGTGATCAATTATACAGACGTAGTCACACTGCTCAAACATTTTTTCAAATATAATGGTGTTGAGTCTTCGCAATGCTTTTATACTGGAAAAAGACACATGACTGACTTAATCTATTCATGGTTTCCCAGTTTTCTAGTAACAGTAGCACATGTCTTATAGTGCTTTTCTTTAAAGGGATTTCTTTACATTGACACAATATTTGTAATACTGCCTATGTCAGGGGTGTCAAACTCAAATACACAGTGGGCCAAAATTCAAAACTGGAACAAAGTCGCGGGCTAACGTTAATATTTATTGAAATATATTTATTCCTCCAGATATAAGAATGAATCTTTTCTTATGGACTCAAACACGTTTTGCTGAAAAACTGAATATGGAACAAGCAAAGCTTAATACTAAACAATATATATATTAGCTGTATAATACCAGTAGGCCAGCTCTAATAGTAATTTGGTATGGCTTCGCCAAATGTAATTAGGCTGCGGGCCAGAGTTTGACACCTATGGCCTATGTACAGCACCATAATGGATTTTAAAATCAATCAAAATATGATTAAAGTGCAAATTTTCAGCTTTATTTCAAGGGGTTTGATCAAAGTGTTGCATTAACTGTTTGGGATTTCTAGTCCCATTTTCAGAGGCTCAAAAGTTAGTTTTTTATTTATTTATTTAAATCTATTTATTTATTAATTATTATAATTTATATTATTATTTACAATACATGTGATGAAGTAGCAAAGTCCAGCAGAGAGCAGTAGGGCGGGGCAGCCTCCACCCTTCATGACCCTCATAGGTCAAGGCTCAGCAAGCCTGTTAAATCCCTTGAATTAAAGCTGAAAGTCTGCACTCCAATCACATCTTGATTGTTTGCTTTAAAATCCACGACAGGAAAAGTCTGAGGAACTCTAAAACAAAACAAAGAGTGCTTCTCCAAGAGGATGAAGGCTGCTACCTTGGAACCAGTCTTCGTCCTCCTCTCTGCTCTCCAGCTCCGACCTATCCTCCAGGTTCTGTAGCAGGTCTGTCAGGATTTTACGCCTCTTTGAAGACTTCTCATCAGAGAGGAGCCCCTTCGCTGCTTCAATGAGGCTGTCGGCATGCCGGTCTGTGTTGAGTAGCTGACTGATGTCACACACAACTAAAAATCAGATAAATATTAGGCAACATCACAATCATCCAGCAGTTTAGCTGACTGGGAGAATAAAAACACAGGTTTACAGTAGAAACTTGTCTGGTGTTGATCCTCCTACCTCCACTCCAGGTCTGCCCTTTAGATATAAGAACCAATTCAGTGTTATCCGCCAAAGTTGGGAAGAACTCCTCTGTCACTATTGTCCCGTCCTCATACAAGCAAACACGTGCACCAGAGAGTGGCACCTGGACTCGTGGAGAACATAACAGGTAAAAACACCAATGACAAATGTGTTGTGTGGACTACAAGTAGAAGCTTTTTAGACCAGATAACTAATCTGTAAACTTGACATATTTTATAAGAGAGCCATCTGTGAGAGTCTGCTCAGATTAAATGGATTTATTTATCCGATGTAAACTCCAATTAAACCAAATCCCTGCAGTACAGATTTCCACCAACAGATCATTTTCTCTTTGTTTCAGCGAGTTTATACAAAATGTGCCCGAGGCCATACTTAATAATGAACGAATTCTGCTCCCAGCCCATCATAAACAGAATTTAATATAAACGGAATAAAAAAAAAGCATCTTGAAATATGAACGTAGAGGCTACATGTCACTTTGACCTGAACGTGACATAACTGTTGCTTTTTCACTTACATCCTGTTTACCGAGTTCTCTAAAAATGATGCGAAAATTATTTTATGTCGTATCTTCTTCACAGTGGAGATGATCTTGGACCAAACCAATCACGTATCGAGTTACTACTAATTAGGAAAAATAAAAGCCTAATTTCTTTTGTTTACTAGCAGCGATGACGTTTATGTCACATCCTCTCAGATAAAAAAAGCGGAACAGCCGTATAAGTTGTTAAAAACTAACTAATTCCCACAAGACTCACCAGTAGCAAATTGCAGGCCTTCTTCAGTAGTTCCTTCACATCTTTTGCGGCAATTCCGTATTTCCTGTTTTCACTGTAACTCCTAATTTTCACAGGTTTAATTTTCCCGAACATTTCGCTGTTTTGTTTTCGGTTTGTACCTACCGCTTCCTTCTTCTTCCTCCTCTTGTCCTCTTGAGGCTCGGAGCAGCAGCGGAAGTGTGTGATTGCCCCCTACTGGTGCTTTTCCTTACTTTCTTTGCTATTGTGGCGTGATTGGTGGTGAAAGTAACTTATATTTATTTACATTACAATATCTTCATGGGGAAAACATTCCGCGTGTTGTAGACACACTGGATATCTAGTACACGTTGTTAATATTAATGATTACAATAATAATGCAATTCAAATGGCTTTATTAGCGTTGCAGTTTATATAGGTTATGCAACACTTGATAACAAGTCACACATCTGTCTTAATCCCTTTTGAAATTTTCATTGGATTCTCACAGTTCTGTTTTTGTCTTCCTCTTTCAAACACTGGGCCAGTACTTGGTTAGGATTTTCTCTGCTATATATCTCTGAAAGTGGAGAGCTATTTTTGCCAGATCATAATACATAGATTATTCTGACATTCTCTTTTCTTTTCAGTGCATAATTTGTTTTTCTGTCTATTGGTTTTAGACAGTAGTGTTTTGTGAGAATGGGCAGCATGTGTCCTTCTGGGGGAACTGAGTCTAAGCACCCCCTTGAATTAGCTGCTCATGTGTTCGCCATAGCAGCTTAAGACTACAGCCACAGCTCCTCCTACAAATTATACTCTACTAATATATTAAAGATAATTATTACATGTTTATATTTAAAAAGAAAATAACATTTATATTGCGAGTGTGGCAATAAACTAACTTTAAATTGGAGATGCTGACGTTCATACAAGATCTAAATGGAAAGATGAGTATTACCATAGCAACTGACGCAGCACGACGGGAAATACCAACTGAAAGGTATGAACGATTATAGGCGGCCAATGCGAATTTTTCTGTATATTTTAAATTTCAGGAATAAAATGTAGACTTGCATTAGAAAATACAGTTCGTATATTAAGTATATTTTCAAATAATGTTTCTCCCTCGTGAACGCTCCTGATGAAATAATTTATTACATATCCCCCCCTTTGTTCTAAATGATAGAATCTGATTTCAATATGGCGGCCACGGCTTAAACATCTGAACGGATGGAGAAGACTAAATTCAGAGTAAAACATTGGTTGCGTTCAACATTTCTGAGTTTTTTTTGTTCAATGTCAGGCTAATGTTTATTTTAACTAAAGGACATGGTAAAAACAGAAGACATACCCAGCATGGCGGACGACTGGAAGCAAGTGTTTGAGAGGAACCGGATGGTTCCCCCGCACAGCCAAACCGTAAGGCTGGCTGTGGAAAGCCGCTTCACCCAGTCCCACGGCTTCCAGCTCACCCTCAACCGTGTCACTGCAACTCACCTCCCATCCCAGGTGACTGTTTACAGTTAGCTTTCAGTGCTAATTAAAAACATAGAAAAAACTCTGCTATAGCAATTCACTAGAGGTTTAGGAAACCTAAATTCAATGTATTTTAATCTGTGAGCTTGACTTTGTATTGACTGTCAAAATAAAAGTCACGATAAGGCCTATTCAGTATCCATCTCTGTGACACTGCGTCTGAAGAAAAATCGCGAACCTTTGAAAAATGTTATATTTGAAGGCAACCATACATTTTTTTTAATCAAACACACAATCAATGTCATGGGATTATTAGTAAATTCGGTCTATATGTAGAGCATCAAACAGTACCAAAGTGAATCTGACATTCACTACTTGCTGGCATTATCAGTTACAGGGATGCAAAATTGAGCATTCAGATATTGAGAACCTCATTCTGGGGTGTTTTTCATGAAGTTGGATAATAGTCATAAAGGAGGATTTAAGTTTAACTCTTCACTTGTTAACAGTGACTTTTCTAAGATGCATATGCTTCCTTTTTGCTCATAGGAGAAGGCAGTGGGAGAACAAAGTGTGACTTACCAACTACGGGCAACGCTGTTTGACAGAAATCATCAGCACTTTTTTGGGAAAACATGGAAGAGCTCCCCTCAGACAATAAAAAACAACAAGATCACTTTCAATGAGGTAACTCTTCTCTAACAGGCATCCCACTGAAACAAGTTTACTTCAAACAGCACACAGCTGTTGCATATATATAGGCTCTTTTAAAAACCCCTCTCATGTTATTTTGGCAAACAGCGAGTCGATGATTATGTAGTAAAATCAATGTGTATTCATCCATAAATTCCATTCATTTAGGGCAGCCTTTATTTAATTAAAAGCAACTCAAAAGCTTTACCAATTAGCCGTCTTTAAATTAGTGGCATTGATTTCCCTAAGTTCTGCTATGCTCTTGAGGATCCTGTCAGCTAAAGCACAGCAAATTACAAACTGAAGTGATTGCCAATAAGTGATTCCAGTTGCATTTGATGATTTCGATTCTTTTTTTTCTCATCCTGCAAGTTGAAGAAGAGCTAATTTCCTTGTGAGGTAAAAACTTAGTATTAGAGAGAACTTTGAGACAAAGTTTCATAGAAAATATCATGATTGTATTACAGATGTGTGCCACTTTATGGCAGTGATCAGTTAGTCCTGGAAACTCTAATAACTGAAAAAGCACGTCATTCATTACATTGATAGAAAAATCACATATTATGTCCAGTATTGCTAGAAAGACCTTTTACTCGTTCATTAACTAGTCTTTACTTGTCTGACAGTGGTAATTGTATATAATGTGGTGAAGTGTAATAAATAGCTTAGTCCCCCCCCCCCCCCCGCCCCTCCTCCAAAAAACCCAAAAAACAACATTATACAAATTGAAAAATGAGAGTTTTTCAATTTTGTAATTTTTATTTCAAAAATACCCCCCACTAGCCCGTTTTGATTTTGTTCACTTTGGATAGTGTGCCCAGGTTAAAGTTGTGTGGAGTAATATACAGTGTGTAGTTGTTCAGCTTAATGAACTAGACAAACTGTACAGCTCATCCTGTAACAGCAGTGCCAAAACCAATAGGAGGATCAGACAGATTCATATCTCAGAAGTATGTGATCGCATCTCCCCCATATCAGTGAGACTGAAGTTTGCCTGCTGAAATTCACGTGTTATGGTGCCAAAAGTAGTAGTGCAACATCATCATGTTTCTCAATACTTTGTATTACTCTTAGTGTCAGGTTCAGACAGAATGACCTCTGTGCAAAGTGAGGGAATTTTCAGCCGCCAGCAAATGTGTTTGAGCTAGTTTCATCTAGAAACGAATGACATGAGAGCTTTGCCCTTTCTGGGCCATTAGGTGAAGTCCAAACAGGCTGAAATAAGTGTGAGTGACCACATGAGACCGACAGCGGCAGGGCAAAAAAGAAAGATGTCCATTTGTAACTGTTCAGCAGTTCTGCTAAGCACCAGCTGGGGGGTTTTGAGTAAGCCATTGCCCTTGGAGATGCTGTGATTTGCTTTCTATGATTGTGTGACAACCAATCATAAAAAAAAAAGCTGCCAGTGTAACATTGTGGAGACTTTGGTTTGTTGTGCTACTTTGGCTCAGCCTTCTCTGCTTCACACTCTCTCTGAACAGATGTGATTGAAAAATCAATCAACTCTTTTCACTCAAGACTGTGTACTAGCTACAGAAAACTTAACATCTAATAGTGCACATAGCAGGGTACCTCATTTAATGTGCTCGCAGTTGCAACTCATTAGTTATCTGCCCATGCACACAAGTGAACAAGAACAAACATGTCTGCTACCTTGCTATAACTGTCATCATGGATTTAACTTGTGCAATCAACAAGATCAGCAGTCCTGCTAAGAAATCAGCATGAGGTTGTTTGCAATTGATACACAAAACCTGCAAAAGACCCAGTGAACTATAAAATGGGCCAAGTAACTTGTGAGGAGTCTTTGGCCATGGTAGCATTTCTGCCTGGACTGAATTACAGTACAGCACCCTGGAAGCCGGCTTCCCAACCAAAACACTCTTTTTTTGTTTACTCAAAAAAGAAAAAGATACAGTGGGCGTTTAGTGTTATCCTACTGTGTTGTGCTAGTGAGATATTGAGTCTCAGAAGATACCAGAGGCTTGTAGTACAAAGCAGGATTTTGTCTTATCCAGATAACTTCTTAATTAACCCTGAGTTTGCCCCCTGACCCTTCAATTCTCTGGAAAATAGCGACACCATTGTTGGACGAGCCTTTGCCCACTGTACCCACATAGTAGGATGGGATAAAGTTTTTTTTTTTTAAATAAAATCTCATATCTAGGAATTTTCCCCCAGTAAGAATTCCCCCAGTAACTTCCAATTCTAGACTTTCACATTTATTCAGTCTCACGTTTATTCAGAGCGCCTTTGTATTTGTGGTTTTTGTTTCAAATGTCCTACATTAGAAATCTGTTTTTTTATTTTTATTCTTTAGTTTGTCTCAAACTCTTAAACACCACTGAGACTGCAGCTGAAAGAATAAAAGCTAAAACCTGTCTTTTAAAAATTAATTGAATTAAATACTCAATTATATTCCATCAGATTCTCCTGTGGCCTAATGATAGAGCTGTGATACGGATAAATCTGTTAAATTATACAATCAGTATTTTTGCCAGCTCTCTTCCCAGGCTTCAAATATGGTAGACTTTATTACTATAATAGATCTTGTCCAGTCTTATTGACTGCAAAGCACTTAAAGCGCTCACGTGTTTATATAGGACTTTTAGTATTAAACTGTTGTATAGTGCTTTCCCTCTCTCTCTCTCTCTCTCTCTCTCTCTCTCTCTCTCGCTGTCAGACACACACACTCTGCTGCTTTTTCTGTAGCAGATGTGTTGCTTTCTGTCTACATTGTGTGTTTAACAATCAGCTGATCTGCTACCAGTACACTTATCCATGCTTGTAATTGGTTAGCCAGTTGGTCTCCTGCATGGGAAACCCTGGGTTAACTTAGTGAGCTGATAACCAGGCTCATGTGAGGGCTTATTCTGATTGGCGAAGTTAAAATCAGTCAATCCAGAAAACAGAGTTGCAGAGGGGTGCAACATAACTAAGATTGCCCTTTGGGACAGCTACAAGTACTTATGTAATGCTTGGTGTGATTTAGCACATGTATTAATATTTTTATGTTTATTGACTTGGGATTGTAGTTGTATGCAGTTTCAGTCAAAGGTCAGATTTGTTGCACTTTAGTCTTTACGATTCATTTTCTTTTTTCCAAACATGGTTTCAGTCTGTTCAGAGTCTTTGAGTCTTTTCTTCTCTGTAATCAAGGGGAACAAAAATGGGGAACAAAAAAGTATTTTTGATGCCAAGCTGCTTGGTGTACTCTGTGAAAGATCTGCTTTGATGATGAAATTTTCAATTTCTTATTGAAAATACCGAAGGGAATGTTGTGACAGCCAAAGAC